CAGATTGTTGATAAATCGTCCACCAATCTTGACCCCACATTTCTCCTCATAGAGCATATATATATATAAATGGCAACTATTGCTGTTGTTGTGTGTCCCTGAGTCAGAACTAACTTATTGCTGTCCTTTTTTCAGGCTTTGGAGGCAGTAAATCACATGGGAGGAGACTGCTCATCCTTCTCCTGCAGAGCAGCTAGTGGATTTGAACTGGCTTGCCTTTGAGACTGCAGCTCAGGTTTTTAAATTTCCCATACAACTGAAAACCATGTCAATGAAATGTGAATAGAAGTGATGACCTGGGGCAGATTCCATAAACAAGGTATACAAAGACCTACTTGTGTTTGCTTGTTGCTATTGTTGTTATGTGCCATCAAGTTGCCTGTGACCCATAGTGACCCTGTGTACAACAGCTCTCAAGCCCGCCCTGTCCTGAACCAGTCTCACTGAATCCGACACATCTACCTCCATTGCCCTAGGTACTGTATCAGCCCATTTCCTCTGGGTTCTTCCTCTCCGTTGCTAACACCCTATCTATCTAGTCATGATGTCCCTCTCCAATGAATAGCCCCACCTAGCTACATGTCCAAAATATGAAAGACAAAGCTTTGCCGTCTTTGCCTCCAAAGAGCACTCCAGTCGCACCCTCTCCAAAATATGTCTGTTTGTTCTCATGGCAGTCCATGGGATATTCTGTACTCTGCTCCAGCACCAGAACTCAAAGGCATCAATTCACTGTCCAGCTCTCTGATGCACTGCAGATGACTGAGATGACCATGGCCTGAACTAGGTGCATCTAAGTCTTCAAACTGACAAAATTGTTCTTCAGCATTCTGGAGAAGTTCCTGACAGTAGACATGCCCAGTGCAATATGTCTCCTGATTTCCTGACTGCTTGTACCAAGGGTATTATGTGGATCCCAAGAAGATGTAATCATTGACAGCCTCAATTCTTTCTCCATCTATCACAATGTTGACTTTTGATCCTGTGAGGAGGACCTTTGTTTTCTAGATGTTGAGATCTAACCCATACTTAAGATCTTCTACAGTAAATGCCTCAAGTTCTTCTCACTTTCAGCAAGCAAGTTTGTGTCACTTGCATAACACAGGTAACTGATGAGTCTTCTTCCAATCCTGATGCCATGTTCTTCCTCACAGAGTCTGGCTTCTTGAATTATTTGCTAAGAACACAGAATGAATAG